CATATTATTCCGCGTTGAAGTAAGTATCGATAAAATGCTTAACAACTATTATTTAGTGTAGAACATAAGTACCTATGTTCCAACGATAGATGCTTAATCACTACCGAGATTTGGATACTAGGGACATGTTAATGTCGCGGAGTACCTAACGGGTAACCGGGACTCCGACACGAAGCGCAGGAGTAGGAACGGGGTGGTTTTTAGTCAGTAAGAGTCTGACACTCCCTCCCGCCTCACCCAGCGGGAGCAATCATTCGATGATTTTCCCCCCTTAAAAAAAAAGGACATTTTAATAAGGTGGTAGATTATTTAAAAACATTAAACAAGTATTTATTTATTTTCTTAAGGAAAATAATACTTTCTAAGATCTATTGATTTGCAATATCGCATTACGTCAGTTTTTAATACGATTTTTACTCTAAAATGACGTAGCTACCTCCCACTCCTTTAATTCTTGTTTTCTTATACGACAGAATAAAAAAAAGTGTCTAATAATTTTTCATTAACTGACGGACTAGTTAGATTTTTAAAATTTTGATACCCTGGAAACTACCTAATTATAAAGAATGTCCACCCAGTCTTCACAACAATAAATCAAAGCAATCAATCAATCGCTCGGTTCTGTTGTGAAGGCGAATAAATAAATAAACACACTTTAATATCACAATGGATGCAGCATTCGTAGAGGTCACGGCTGCATGTGAATGTCATGCCAATTGTAATGTTATTGATAAGAACCTGACGGTATTATTCTCATGAATAGATTTCAGCCGTAGCTTATAAGTAGTAACAGTCTCGATTGCTGTAATTGTTTTTTTACCCTTTTCTGAATAGGCTGAGGTGCATATATACGACCTATCACCCACTTTATCAGTTCTTTTATTGAGTCCTATGTGTTATAAGAAGGAGAATATTCAAAAAGCTGAAATAAATCATAATGTTTAATTGCAAGAGGGAACCAAGCGACTAACGAGACTTAAACATTTAAATTATAATAGACTAGCTGTACCCGCGACTTCGTCCGCGTGGAAAAGCCTAAGTTACTTCTTAGTACATCAGCTACCTGCCAATGTAAGTCCCGTCAAAATTGGTGCAGACATTTCGGTGATTAGTTAGAACAAACAAGCGAACACACAAAAATTGTAAATATTCATTTTGGTGTACTTATGTATCGTATGTATATTCATGTGCATATAATAAACAGTAGTTATTTCAATATTACAAATAGATGTAGTTATTGAAATTCTAACACCTATATCTTCCAATTTGACAGGTCCGCCCTGGTCGCCATAGCAGCGTTTCTGGATGCGTTCCAGAAGATTGCAGACGCGGCCACAAATGCAAGGGGTGTGTTTAATAAATTATTGTTTAATTCGTGTTGTCTGAGAAATATTTCGGTAATATTAATATTAATTGAAAGCAAATAGCAATGACGGTGTCAGGTTCTAATGAAATGAAATTAGCTTGAAATCAAGTTTTTTCGTACTTTGTTTCTCTTTAGTTATATCATTGGCTAGCAGCCCGTCCCGTGTCCCTTCGTCCAGCATACTCACCATGGAATCCTGATATTTCATGAATGTCAAAAAACTGTTCTGAAATAGTGCTAAATAGTGCCCAAAGGAAAAAAATAGTGCTCTTGTACTTGCGAAGTTATAGCCATAGTTCGATGAGTATGCTGGACGAAGGTTTCGCCCAGCATACTCACCTCCGTCCGGAGAATCTGTATACGCTTCAAACATAATTCATACTTCAAAAAATAGTTCCCAAATAGTGCCAAACGGTGCCCAAAAAGAAAAAACAGTGCTCGAATAACTTCGGAGTTATAGGCTTCGTTCAGTGAGTATGCTGGGCGTAGGTTCTACGCCCAGCATACTCACCTCAGTGCGCGAATATCGAACGAGCTATAGGTACAATTTACGTCTCAAAAAATTGTGCTTGAAATAGTGCCCAATATCAGTCCAATTTTTGCTTGACTTTTGACCTAGAAAACCATTAAATTTGATTGTAAACTTCTACATACATTACATTGAGTACAGTCGAATACAATATTATTAACTTTCTTTCTAACAATTTTTGTCTTGTGTAAATTATTAATTGTCTATGTAAGGGAGTATTTACTTTAGAATCGCAATATTATTAATTACACATTATTTTAATAATACTTTATAATAATATGATTAAGCCTTCGCGCGTCGCATGGGACCCCGGTAGCTAGGAACAATGATTTTATATATTTTGTCTAGATCACGGCGCTTGAAGGATTAAGATATCAAATGAAGTAAATCATGCATGAAAAATAAAGTTGCTGTTATTAATGCTTACATTACAACTGACAAAATTATTCAAAATAATCATTTTCCGGATCAAGGACGGTACCACAACGTTTACGGAATTGACCTGTATTCCTCATGTGATAAAGTTCAATATAGTGTGGCAGTAATGGATGCACGTACGGTCAATAGGTTAAATAGTAATAAATAACGTAAGTAATTAAAAATGTTTTTTATTGCTAAACCTTTCATTGATGAAACTATTGGAAAGAGTTTTAAAAATTTGTATAACTATGTCACAGTACTAGTTTTGACTGGTTATAAGTTTTGCCTGCAACATATATACAAAAAGAAACTGTATAATTTCCTTTTTACAATTTTTCAAGATATTAATTTTATTGGCTGCAAATGACTGTTTTTATTCAGACAAACACACAATGCAATGAAGTAATAGACTTCATTTACGCTTAAAGTTTCATTCATTTATTATTATTTATAAAATATATAATAATGCATTTAATCGAAAGTTTTTGACATGTGAGAAAATACCATAATTATTTCCAATAACATGAAGTCTACAATTAGAAAGTTTAATATTTTTGTCCAAAAACATGTGTCGACGACTGTACCCCATTTTACGTTAGTATGTAGAAGTTTACATTAAAATTTAATGGTTTTCTAAGTCAAAAGTCAAGCAAAAATTGGACTGATATTGGGCACTATTTCAAGCACAATTTTTTGAGACGTAAATTGTACCTATAGCTCGTTCGATATTCGCGCACTGAGGTGAGTATGCTGGGCGTAGAACCTACGCCCAGCATACTCACTGAACGAAGCCTATAACTCCGAAGTTATTCGAGCACTGTTTTTTCTTTTTGGGCACCGTTTGGCACTATTTGGGAACTATTTTTTGAAGTATGAATTATGTTTGAAGCGTATACAGATTCTCCGGACGGAGGTGAGTATGCTGGGCGAAACCTTCGTCCAGCATACTCATCGAACTATGGCTATAACTTCGCAAGTACAAGAGCACTATTTTTTTCCTTTGGGCACTATTTAGCACTATTTCAGAACAGTTTTTTGACATTCATGAAATATCAGGATTCCATGGTGAGTATGCTGGACGAAGGGACACCCCGTCCCGGCTTCGCACGGCGGCACGGGGTAGACAATTATTTATTTTTGGAAATTTGGATTGTTGTAGTGACATAACTATAGTTGGACATATGCTACCGCGGAGTTTTCTGTAGACATTAGGATGTTCTTCAATATTGTTGTAGGTACATTATTTTGTTCTATCGCTAATAGTTTAGGCAGCGCATTCGACGAAAGACATTTTAAGACTCATTTTTTACACCTTCGGTTACATTGTTCAAATTTTACCAAGGATCCCTAACTTTTTTCAAAATGAAATGTAGCCTATGTCAAATTGGAAGAATGTAGCATTCTATTGGTGAAAGAATTTTTTAAATCGGCCCAGTACTTTTTGAGCCTATTCATTACAAACATACAAAATAGATACAAATCTTTCCTCTTTATAATATTAGTATAGATATAGATAAGTAAATTTTTATCACTACTTCGTCCTCTGAATGTCGGAATCTTATGGATTAAGTATTTATTCAATTGAATCTGTGATGAACGATCTTAAAACCAATTGATTCATATCAAATGAAGGTTTAAATATGCACTAATTAAAGCCAAAATTCTATTGAAATCACTACATACTATAAAACAAAGTCGCTATCCGCCGTCTGTCTGTCCTTATGTATGCTTAGATCTTTAAAACTACGCAACGGATTTTGATGCGATTTTGTTTGATAGATAGAGGGATTCTTAAGAAAGGTTTATATGTATGTAGAAGACAATTCACCCATTGGGGGTACTTCGTCATCGGATTCTTCGTAAACGCGGTAATTTCGTTACGGGCTGGCAGAACAACCGCTCACCCTCGTGTCCAACTAAAAAGTGACACCTTTCAAATGAAAACATACCACGCCCCGTACCGACCATCACCCAAGCACACTGCTTGACGTTTCCGACAAATGATAACAGATGGCGTTGTTCTAAAATAACGATACTCGATAGTTGTGCATCTTTGTTGATTCTGCGACATGTATAATACATGCATATTGCACCCGCGCGAAGCTGTGGCGGGTCGCTAGTGAAAAATAATACAACAATAAGTCAAGTGAAAAATAGTCACGAATCATTTAATTTTTAATAATCTCATAGACGATGTTTTACTTATAAACTATACAGATCTAAACCAGCTCAAAGCCTTGAGATCTTAACATCACGCAAGTTGTAATACCGGCAAAGCAGGAATGGGATTGATAGTTCAATATTTCGTATATGTATCGTATTTGTGGCCAAAACATTTGTCAATCATTCATGAATCAATCCTAAAATTGATCTATCAATCTTCAATCCTTCAAATTGAACAACGAGCTTCAACAATTTAACTTAAAATAATGTGCTAATTGTAATAATTAATAAAGCATTATTAAATCTAATTATTATGATTAAATTAAACTTGACTTTAAAGAACGAAACACTAGATTTTGTCAATCATTTCATTATTAATTTTGGTCGATATTATCTAATAATTATCAGAAAAAAATCGTTTGGTATTTTTTTACATAATTTAATTACTCATCTGATAACTAAGATATGTCATGGCAGAAGTCTTTAATACGACGATCATAGATGTCGTTAATAGCGACCTAATTTGATTAGACTTACAAAAAATTAACTTAACATACTTTAAAATTACGAGACCCTTTGTGTTGACCATAGGCTTCCTTGTACTTCATAAGAGCAGGTCGCAGGTTTTTAATTGACCAATCAAATTAGGCCACTAGAATTAGGTACTCTAAGCGACGATAGTGCTTCTAATCCAGTCGAGGTATTCGTAAACTTTACTGTAGACGCCGGGAACTCCATCCATGCCGCAGGGTAGTGGTCCAAAACTGACGACTCCTGTGACTTCGTATGCGCGGCCATTTTCGTACATTAGTGGGCCTCCGGAGTCACCTTTGCAGGAATCCTTGCCTGGTTGTCCGCCCGCACAGAGCTGGGCTTGCCATAGTGTGACACTGCGGCCAGGTTTCGAGTATACTGGTTGGCATTCCTGTGGAATTATTGAGAGAATTCTTATGAATATAGGGGTTATGGATTAAGATTGTCTGATTGGTTGAGTGATTACATGCGCGACTTCCTAGTGAGATGTCTCGATTCTTGAGTTTGACCTATGATCATTTCAGTAAAAAATGGTGTCGGGCGTTATGTCCCGTGCATGGCAAATATGGTAAAATAAACAGCGTATTTCAATGACATTTTCTTCACGCTATTTTTCGTCTAAAGTAGCAAATAAGACTTACCTCCGGGGTAACGAAAGGCAGGTCGACGTGGAGTTTGACAGCGCTGTAGGACTGTTTCGTACTAACTGCTCCCCAACCAGCCGCGAATAATGTAAAGTTAATAGGACGATTTTGAGGCAATGTCATGTCCTTGGTAGGGAGACAAATCGGCCGGATAAAGTCTGGAAAAATTATTAAAATTTGTTAGAAAAGAGAGAAGGTCTGTGAGAAGAAAATACTGCGGTTTCTTCAGTGATAAATATGAAAAAGGATGAACTAATAAAGGCACTATCATAATCATGTTTGGTCTTACAAAGCTCTTTCAGTTCAAATCAGCATGTTCTTCTATATTAGTCCTTAAATGTCTCAATAATTGCGAAAGGAAGGTCTTCGTACCTGTGAACGGTGCTGCCTCTGCCAGCCTGATTAAAGCGATATCATTCCTCTTCAAGGGACTAGCAGGGTTGTACTGAGGATGAGGAGTGATCTTCTCAATATTAATTTTAATGGCTCCATCTGTGCAATCTTCGCCGCCAGCTTCTACAGGTGCACAGTCCTTGCCGTCGTGGCCGGTGTCGTATTCTCCTAAACGTACCCGTCGTCTGAAAGTGATAAAAACATCTTATAAGGTTTCGTAAAACTCATGTCTCTCAAAGACTTCTTTAGTGAAAAAAGAATTCGCTATGGATAGATTAAACACTATCTAAATATTATAGTTTTTGAATTCGGCAAAGACTTTACACAATTTCTTTGTTAGGCAAGGAAAAATGGAATTCTCTTAAAATGTAAGTGGTTCCGTCTTAAATGTTTTTAGTAATTCCTGGTTTCATATTATTATCCTCAAAAGTATAACTTACGGTGTGCCAACATTAAGGACTTGACCAGCGACACAGTGACCAGCTGTCAACACGTAGCGCCCACTGATGAGAGCTCCACCACAGAGTAGTTTCGTCACGCCCTGCTTCACGTACTCAATTATCACCAACCATGGGTACTGGTCTACTGTTGTTGCGTTACCGCCTGAAATATGAAAAGTTTTAATCGTTATATATCGTCTGAAAAGTTATTGGCAGTTGAATATATTTTCTGCAAACGCTTCTTAGACAGACTCTGTTTCTTTTTTTGTATTGAAATGTTTTATTAAATCTAGTTAGGAGTCTGCTGATCCAAATATTTTCTTTTCTTTCTAATATACTGTTTGATTCTTGTTAGAATTTCCAACAAGCTATTTGTGTGATCCTCAAATTAACTCGTCGAGTACCGTCATTATAGACACAATTATAGAACAATAGGTTGCGGTCACCTGTGACCGCTTGGTGTTTGACAGTTTAATATTCTGATGTGAAAGAGTTCTTAAATGGTACTTAAATAAGGAAAAATCTATGCTAAGTAAAGTCTTAAAATTGAAGTCATAGATATACTGACCGACAATTTTATTTCCAACTCGACTGTCGACACCGCAGCATTCACTCTTCGGGTCTGGAGGGAAGGCGGTCATCTGGGACTCGCAGCCACCGGGAGGTATCATTGTAGGGTCTCGGTTCGGAGGAGGACCACAGCAGACGCTGTATTGTTCTGGACCTTCACACCTGAAGAATAGAGTTTATTTTTGTTAATAAAATGGCACATTACACTGCAAAATATGAAAGATTATGATAGGAGCGTTCTTGTGTTTTAGAGTGTGAACCTAATGCTTACGCCAAAAGGAGTTTAAGGAGTTTAGGCTCTTTTTTTTATGCCGTAATTTTATGCCGTAAACGAGCAGACGGATCACCTGATGGTAAGCAACCGGCGTCGCCCATGGACATCTGGAACACCAGAGGCGTTACAAGTGCGTCACCGGCTTTTTGGGGATTAGGAGTTTGAGGATCGTTGGGGATTCAGGGATTGGGGAAATTGGGGAAGGGGAAGGTAATTGGGCCTCCTGTAACCTCACTCACACGACGAAACACAACGCAAGCGTTGCTTCACGTCGGTTTTCTGTGAGGCCGTGGTATCACTCCGGTCGAGCCGGCCCATTCGTGCCGAAGCATGGCTCTCCCACACTTAAATATACTTATATATACTCTATACTATTACTTTTGAATATGAAAACACCAATAATTTACTTTCAGTGGAACCTAGGAGTTTGTGTTCGGCAGTTGTACTAGGTTAGTTCTTGGCCATCGAAGCACAGTCACGTGTATTTAAATCGTTTTGTTGAAATCCTATAATTAATGGTAAATACAAAGGCGTTCTAGACATAAATTAGAACCCATTTTCCTCAATTAGTTTTAAAACTGGTTTCATAAAGCTACAAACAAAATCAATGACTAAGATAATAGATATAACCTAGGTAGAAGCATGTGTTTGATTGTATAATTGACTTGATAAGTACACTAACTATTCGCTTATCATTCTCCTGTTCCACAACTAACAATTCCGTCTCCAAAAAACCTAATAATACTTTGCTCAAAATGTTATGTTATGATACTAAATTAGCAACACAGGGGAATCCTATCCGAGTCCTCGATGACGTCATCGCGGCCATTAATGTAATTGGTACACGAGGAAATAAATATGTATGAAGATACTATAATACAACTTGTTGAGCTACAGTAGGAATGTCAAGGACTTTTTAAGGCTATGTTTGAAGATTTGATCCGTGGATACCTACGTGCGAAATACGACAGGCCGTGCTTTGCAAAATAGGTATATGACGTGTATTGTTTGTTAACTTCGAATTAAGTAAAAAAAACTAGCAATACCATTATAGTAATAAACTTATTGGCTCCACCGTCCACTGGGACAAATGCTAAGTTGTTGGTTCATATAAAATATTCCATATTTATTATGATATTTTTTGTGGACATTTTATGATCTTCTAAAATGAACAGAGAATATAACTATCTATGGGGACATTATATCATGTTCTGAAATTATCCTCCCTACTAATATTATAAATACAAAAATATAAGAAAATTGAAGATGAATTGAAGAAGTACGTGCGTTATTTATCGTTTCACGCAAACCACTGAACGATGAAACTTGGCCTTGACAGATACTACCAGTGGCATGAATGCTTCCTTACCTTGATTTCTGCACATAGGCGATACTCTCACTCGGCACTGGTGGTTTTAACAAGTTCGCTAGATGTGTGCACGAGTACAGACTGATACATTTCCCCTCCATGCCTTCCGGAGTGTAGCAGGTACCAGATGGCTTCGGTGGACAGCACACCTGGAAATTAGAAGCATGGTTTTAAGTTACTGTTCTTTTGATGTAGTGGAAGCAGGTTCATTTTGCCATCATATCGCAAGAGTTGTAATAATTGACTAAACGATAAAAAAAACCGAGTAACCATGTTGTGTGATAGATAAATCTAAAACTCTTAAACAATCCAGTGGTCTACAATCCAGTTGGATTGTGTGGGGATTCTGGCAAAGCCTCTATCGACGTATACCGGATGACATTCAAAACTTTGTGCTGTTCTCGAAAATATAAAGCTGAGTTAAGATGGCTTGTTCTTGCGTATACGTCTAATTAATTTTTTAACTACTGATTAAGAAATCTTTAAGGTTCTTCATCAATGCAATCGGTAACATTTGACGTTCATACCTAAATCAATTCAGAGATTTCGGATTAATATCAGTTATTAATTACGCTGTTGCAAGCTGGTTGTTGTTGGTATGCTCATTAGTCCTTGATGTTGGTCTAAGAGTAACGATAGAGTTTCTGGCTCATTCTTCTCCATTCGAAACTACGCTTTGGAACGAATATCTAGATACTCGCCTAATTCAATTTAACGTTTCAAAAGTAAAAAATATGCTAGAAATAAATGTTTTGCTTAGACTTTAGTCTTCAATATTAATTAGTCATACTCATACGTTAACACTATATTTCTTTTCCGCGGATTTTCTTTGGTAAAACCCAGTTTCGTTTCCTATTCTATTATAGCTTAATATGAAACAATTTCGATAAATGGACGCAAACCACAGTATCGCCTCCATTGTTAATAGTGACTTATACGTCACTGATCGCGTCACGCCGCCATCTTTATTTTTCCCGCGTTTTTTGCGGTTTCAATGCATTTCTAGTATTTATTTTTCATTGTTCTTATTTTATTTAACTCGTTGAGTACCGCCATTATAGAACACATACACATTTAAAGAACAATAGGTTGCGGTCACCGGTGATCGCGCGGTGTTTGACAGTTTAAGTAGGATGACTTATTAATTAAATAGTTGTATTAATATTTAAGTTTTTATGTTATGGAAAGGACAAATATTTTTTGCACAGGAATATTTAGGATCGTCTATACTTAATTCATTCTAGGCTAATAAAAATACCTTAGTTCGATGTGAGGCGCTTACTATTTAAATACTGTTCCAAACGACTAAATAACCTACGTACAAAATAAAGACTGGCACGGTTGGCGCGGTGGCTGGGCAACTGGCTGCCGCGCATCGTGTCCGATTCCCGCACAGAACAACTCTTTGTGTGATCCACAGATTGTTGTTCCGGTGTCATGTGTATGTGATATTGTATGTTTGCAAACGCACTCACGACACAGGAGAAAATGCTAGTGTGGGGGAATGGTTTTTAAAAAAAAAATTTAAACAACAGAACGGGCTGATCTGGAAGTCATTGGAAAGTCTTATTCACTACTGGTTAACAGTTGGAAAGTCCAAAGACTATACTTACAGCAGGTGCAGAACCAATGTAACCGCATTGTGACTTCTGCAGCAGCTCAATGTCCTGACTTGTCCTATCCTTCTTGTTTATCAGGTCCAGTAGAACTTGACAGTTGTACACCGATACACACTGACCATTTGCCCCGCTAGGCGTCCGACATGAAGATTCTGCGGAAAGAAATAAAGAATTCAGCAAAAATATTCTCTGTAACAGATGCAGAAAGGTCCAAAATTAAATGAAGAGGACATTTAAAAACTTGATGAAGAAAACACATTCTGTTTCAAGATATCTGTTAAAGGTAGAGAACAAAACAAATTATCAATACATAGTATAAAACAAAGTCGCTTTCGCTGTTTGTCCGTATGTATGCTTAGATCTTTAAAACTACGCAACGGATTTTGATGCGGTTTTTTTTAATAGATAGAGTGATTCTTAAGGAAGGTTTGTATGTATAATACATGCATATTGCACCCGTGCAAAGCCGGGGCGGGTCGCTAGTACAATAATAAAATCAATCATGATGAACCAAAACTAAAATACACATACCTAGAAATGAAAAATATCATAAAAACACACGTAGGTACATCCTAATGAGGGTTTCGCAGAACCTGTTTTGATTGTACACGATTTCAATGCAAATAACGAACTGGAAACCCTTCTGAATACAAGGTAATGGTAACATGATTGTAAATAGGTAAGGTCTTAAGTAAAACGTTTTTTGCAAAAGCTTTAGTCAAATCGAGAAATATAAAATTGATGTTTTCCCACTGCCATGGAATAATGATAATTTTGATATTTAAAAAAAAATTAATGTTGTCTAATTTAAGTGCCGTAATGTGCACCTCTGCCGAACCTAAACTGTTCCGTCTGTCAGTCTGTCTATCCAACTGATCCCTTTCTTTCAATCAAGCAATATCAAACTTAACAATTGAATTGATAAAATCTAAGATGTAACTTAACATGGTACAATGAATACAGCCACTTTTAATATAAGCTTTAAATTGTATTACCTGACCTCGCGTCTTCGTCACAATCGACTAAATTCTCTGTTGAAGGTATAAAATGATACAAGAGCTTAATAAATTACTCAAAACTAAATAGGAGCCACCATCGGTATTATCATGTATTTATCTTAGACTAACTCAAGAGCTGTTAAAATACAGTATTCGATAGAAGATACTTAATGTTCCAAGTTAAGTTTTTTCCATCCAAACTGACCAGAGATAGAAGATCGTTCATTGTATGTGTTCATTTATTAGAAGTAACTAGACAAAAACCGACATATTATCAGAATAAATATTTTGCAATTACCGTGTTTAATTTTGTTTACAAAAGTACTGCCTCGTTGGCCGAGTGGTCGCAAGTGCAACTGCCGGGCAAGGTCGGGTTCAATTCACGGGTAGGACAAAGTATTACTGGGTTTTAAAAAAAATCTCAGTAGTAGCGCGCAGTCTGGATACGTGCCTGGTATATGGCAATAGGCTCACCCCCTATTACATGGGACTCATTATATAAATAGTGAAAAGTGGGTGGTACATTATTCAGTGGCATTAAGTGCCGTAATGTGCACCTCTGCCTACCCCTTAGACGATAAAAGGCGTGATGTTATGTATGCTATATCTATGTATTTTTAAAAAAGCTTTTGATAGATGATTAAAATATCAGAAAGATAAAATATCTGAATTCTCTGAACTTGACTAAACTAAAACATACCCTTGTGTGAACGGTCTGTAGATTACAATTGAAAGTTATAAGTCGAAATGCCAAAATTAATATAGTCACTCCACTGTTGACGGCTTCAATATTACCTGGTGTTTTTTTCTTATCAACAGGGTCTTCTGTTGGAGTAATAAAGAAGTGTGAGACTGACTCAGAAGTACGCTCTTTCGATGAATATTAAATATAAAAACTCCCTAACTATGGCTTTCTTAAAACAACAGTATTGCCTTTGCAATAATTATGTTGGTGTGGTTAAAGTTACTAAAAAGAGTTATTTGGCAAAAGTTCCATAGAATATGCCTTCAAATCCTAAATACAAATCATCACATAAAGATTTTATAATTAACGAATTTAATTTAAAGTAGTAGTAGTACTTAGTTTACAAACGCTTTTGAAAGATCAGGGTAGAATCATAAAGGAAAAAGAAATTGCTAGATTCTCTAAATTTGGCTAAACTGAAACATACCGTTGTGTGAGGCGTCTGTGGATGACAATTGAAAGTTATAAGTTCTATTGCCAAAATTAATTTAGTTACTAAAAGGCTTTCACTGTTAATAGCTGTAATATTACCTGGCGCCGTTTTCTCATCAATATCATCCTCTGTTGAAGTAATAAAAAAAAAATAAATTTCAAACGCAGAAGAACGTGCATTAGTTCAATAGGTGCGTTTAATATTTAACTTACCAGTACTGTTACTAATTTCGTTGGCAGTATCTGGATCGAGTTCTAGAGTTATAAAAAAGTGCATCATTATAGATAATGTATTTGGTCAACTAATCGCTAGCAAAAGCCGAGGAAAATACTTTCAATACGAATTTTGTCTTTGAATGTGTTAGTTATTTGGAATTCTGAGTAGAATGGAGTCTAGAATCGTGTCCGATCTAGTCAAGCGTTTATCCTGTTTATTTTATGGGATAACAACTCGTAATTAAACTGTCAAACACCGCGAGGACACCGGTGACCGCAACCTATTGTTCTTTAATTGTGTCTATAATGACGGTACTCAAACGGTTAATATAAATGGCGAAAAGTGGGAGGGGAATTTTTCATCTTCACCTCTGTAAATCATATATTAAAACATGTCTTGTTATGTTTTGTATTACGTCAATTTAAAAATTGTAAACACATCGGACTGATTGGGTACTAGAAAGCTAATGTTATCATTTGTAGCCGTTTCGCAGGTTAAATCCGGCTTTTGCTTTATTCAATGAGATTAGTCAAACATAAATGAATTTCAAATAGCCTTTTGTTGATTTGTTTTGCTTTATGCTTGCAAATTATTACATTTTGATATTATGGTCATATGTTATGGCAATTACAAGAACAAAGAAACAATATAATATATATGTATATGTTTTGATAATTAAATTGATGTAAATTGTTTATGCTCAATATCACGGTTGACGCCATAAAGCAAAATTCAAGTCTTTATAATTTCTTATTTGACAGATTCAGGAACCGTTAATTCTTAACTGATTTATTTCCCAAAAAATAGATACGTTTTTAATTTACTATTGCATATTTTGTATTTAGTTTTTTTTTCTTACATTGCCATAACACTGTTTCATTCTTAGTATTCTTCGTAAAGCTTCGTAAAGCTTGTGTAGTAACTTATAAACCTAATTTATTTTTTATGATATGCCAAATTTAATTTAGTTCTTAATAACTAGATTGAGTTTTGATATATTTCTGTTGAACTCACCAGCTTCATTTCCACTATGAAATTGTTCCTCAGGGTTTTTTAATATAGATTTTACCTCAGGGTCCACGTCAGTGTCTACTTTAGGGTTTATCTCGGGGTCTACCTCAGGGTCTACCTCAGAGTTTACCTCAGGGTCTACCTCAGAGTTTACCTCGGGATCCGCCTCAGGGTTTATCTCAGGGTCTACCTCAGTGTCTGCCTCAAGGTTTACCTCAGGGTCTACCTCAGGGTCTACTTCAGGGTTTACCTCAGGATCTACCTCAGGTTCTACCTCAGGTTCTACCTCAGGGTTTATCTCAGAGTTTAACTGCAGGTCTACCTCAGGGTCCACCTTAGGGTCTACCTCAGGGTCTACTTCAGGATCTACCTCAGGGTCTACCTCAGGGTCTACCTCAAGATCTATCTGAGGGTTTACCTTAGGGACTATCTCAGGGTGCACCTCAGGGTCCACTTCAGGGTCTACCACATGGTTTAATTCATGATATACCTCATGATTTGCCTCAGAGTTTACCCCAGGGTTAATCTTAGAGGTTACCTCAGGGTCAACCTCAGGTTCTAGCTCATGGTCCAGCTTAGGGTCAATCTCAGATTCTACCTCTGTTGGTGCCTCAGGTACTGGTGTTACTAGAGTTAGAACATCAATATCATTAAATATTTAGACCTCTAACTACCAACTGCAGAAGCTAACTACGATAAACTATTAATTTATGGATAAACAGAATTAAACGAAGCTAATATTGAATAGCAATTAGAAGAAATACAACATCAAGGAAAAAAATTCAGAAATAACCGAAAAGTCAGACCGAATCTACGTGAAGATACACTAAGCAAAGTAAGTTAAGGGATTCGTAGCATTGACCCTATCGTGTTTCGGAAAACCCTCAGTGGGCAATAAACTACCGCTACTCCGTCGAGAAATATAAATAAGAATCAAATCAAATCACTTTTATTTGGTATAAGAATGCTGCGCTAATTAAAATCTAGTCGAGAAAAAGTCTACAGATAAAAGACGAAATACTGCATCAAGTTATTTTGGATCAATAGTAAATGTTTTCGATAACTCACCAGTGGTTCCTAGATCAGTGTCTGTCAAATCAAAGAATGTCATTAAAAGACGACGAAGAAGTACAAGGCAATTATCACAGTTAAACAAAATAGATTACTCCAGTTGCAAAATTTTTGCACGAAGAGTTTAAAAAATTCCACAATGGTATGTATTCCAAGAATTCACAATGGTAAGTACATCGTGAATTCATACAATAATTTTAAAGAACTATGATATAGATCGTAAACGTAAAATAAATTGGAAAAAAATTCGCCAATAAAAGAACTCACCTCGTGCCACAGGTTCGGGTAATTCTTCCGAAAATTCTGGCAAAGAGTTTGCCTCATTTCCTACCTCTATTTCTGCAGATTTAGAAATTATTATTATAATATGTCTACTATCATTACAATCATGTCTGTACGCTTTTGTTTTTGCTTTCTCTAAAGGACAGATAGGCAGATCAAAAGACTTTTTGATCTAATCGACCTAATAACATGGCAGACATAAATTACGAATATCTTACGATTACGGTCAGGATACATTCCACTAAACCACTTCGCTCACCTCATGCGAAAATCATACTCCCCTAATTGTGAGATGTGTGTTTTATGTTTTTTATTTTTGTTTTCTATTTATTTTTGTGTTTTAATGTTTATGTTGTATGTTAATTTTCGGTGGTCCATGTATATGTCCATGGCGAATAAATTATTTTTCTTTCTTTCTTTCTTTCTTTCTTTCAAAATAGAGGACGTGAAGCATGTGTTGGTGGAATGTGTCCGATATACAAATAAGAGAAATGCACTTCTCAACTCCATGATACTGTCAGCAATGGATGTTGGAATGTTTAATGGTATTTTAACTAGGCCTCTATCTGAAGCTGCGAAAATTATATATTCCTTTATATTAGATAGATAAGTAGACTAAGTTAATTTGTTTAAGTTGTAAATACATTTGTTATGTAGAAGCACGATGAGATTGACATCGTCAAAAAATGTGTACAAAAATCCCTTACAATATATGAGATTAAAAAAAAAATATCTTAGCAACGTCTGTTTTAGAGTAAATCACGTGGATCAACGACTCTGACTTTTGCTACGGTTGAACCTTGAATTATCACTTCAACATTTTTCCGTACTGTTGCAGTCTCGAGTCAGAGTAACGAGTCAGAGTAACTAAAGGTCTAATTATAGAATATAGACCGTCATATTGATATCTATTATTATAAAGTACAAGTGTCATTTGTCTGATAAAGTATATTGCGAATAATGTACAGACAAGAGATTACCAATTAAGTCATAAGTGAACATTTTAAAAATTCACAATGAGGGTAATCGCTTTCAGGTGAACTAGCGGTTGTGATTGTTGTTATCACTGAGTGTGGCGATATTTGACAAAATAATTTACTTGTTATTCATAAAAACAGAGTCCTTCATTCTATAAAAGGATATTAGAAAAAGTAGTGCTTGCCAAACATAGTTGGCATAAGAAAGATCGTATAAAGACGAATCTAGAAGTTATATTACATGAGCAAGAAAAAGTAAACTTTATGCGAAAATCTTTAAAATTCACAATCACGAAACTCACCCTCAGGAGGTGGTCTAGCGGTTGTGTCTGGTGTTATCACTGAATGTGACGGTATTTTGTCTGGCAAAATAATTTCATTCATTATTTAAAGAAACTAGAATTGTGGACATCAAGATCTTAGATAAAGATAGGCAAACGTAGTGTAGGCTCCAGCTAGGTGGAGTGACGATATACGTAAAGAAGCTACATGCATTGAGCTGAAGATCGAGAAAGATGAGGCCTAGAAGCTAACAAGGTACTTGATAAAATAAAAAAAAAACAACTTACTCGGTTTGTGCTTTACAATTGTTCTAGCTGTTGATCGAAATGTTTTAAATTGTTATAAGAGTTAGGCATACCAATTTAAAAAAACAATTCTATCTTTCAAAATATTACTTACGCCGCTGTTTATGTCCAGGACGATGACCAGGGCGGCCTAACCAAAACACGATGATAGTAAAAAATAAAGTAATTGTACTGTTTACTATAAAAACATTATATGACTACAATATTTAAAACGTAAGGAACTCACCATACGGATTGTAAACAGACGAAGAAGGAAGTAAACTTCCTGTTGAAATAATTCAAAATAATGAACTAATAATCAAAAACAAATAAAATTTGAAGTGGTAACTAAAGTTTAAAGAAAGTGAGAAGAATTAAAAAATGTTCAACAATTGGATCAGCTAATAAGTGAAAAGCTAATTAAATAATGTATCAAAAAGATTTTAAATTAGGAGCATGTTTAATTTACTTCCAAATACGAAGCCATAGAAGAATTGTCAGGCTCTTAAATTAGATATTCGAGATTCCAAAATCTGATCGAGAAAATCCAAATAGAGAAAGAAATATGCAAAAAGTACAGTAATAATGCACTAGTACCACCACACAGTACAAAACACATGTTTTCAATATAGGTAAATAAAGAAACAACAAACAATCAATCAATCAATTGAGCATAGTAACAATCTTCATAAAGGAGGAGATGCAGTAGCGAACGCTGCTAAATTGAGAATTACAGAAGATTAAATCATAGTTTCCTCAAAATTCACAAAACTCACCGATAGGTTTAATGATTACAATTTGTGGCCAATATCTATAAAGCTTGTCTGTGGAACATAAGATTATTTTTGTTAGATCCTATCTTATTCTATAAAAACTTGTTTGGTTTTCATCGTCATGATCAGAAATCTAAAGAAAATCATTGTCATCATCATTTTAAACCTTGGAATAAATAAGGCCGGAACACAGATATACGCTAGACACAATGCGTTTTCTATTGTGTCCGGCATACAAGAAATTAATCGCCTTCTTTATTAACAGTTTTAAAATGTTTATGAATAACATTATCATATTTATTGTTTTTAGCATTTTGTATTTTATTATTTCATTCATGTTCTTTACTTAACGGCTCACCTTTCAGACGGTCATCATATTTTGCGAAGATTTCTGTTAAAAAGTAATAAACAACTTTAGTTGGTTTCCTATTGGTTATTGTTTTTTTAACATAACATATCATAACATCACGCCTTTTTATATAAGGGGTAGGCAGAGGTGCACATTTCGGCACTTAATTCCACTGTACAATG